CTTAAAGATTCATAAATAATATCACAATATATACAATCCTGAAACTGTTGAAAGATGGTATTTGGGTATTGTTTTGTTTGCATCACAGCCAAAAACATGAATCATATAAATGCTGAATCACTAGAAAACAAATCCCTGAGTCTATGTTAAGTTTCCAAAGTTAAGATTACTGAAGCTATGAGATACATAACTAAAGTTAAAAAATTCATTGACAAAATATGTAAAACAAAAGTAATAAAACAAAAGATTGATGGAAACAGATGTTTTGCGAATCTTTTTTGCTTTGATTCTAGACAATTAGTAAGAACCGATTGAGAAAGCAAATTTGACAGTATACAACAAGAAATGTTCATGCATTGAAGTATGAGCAAGAAACAGTCACATGCTACTCATTTTTGACAAACACCAGGTTTACAAACTATTTTTACTGTGAGTCACTTGATGAACTGCTACTCGAATCAGTTGACATTACTTCAACATCTTCAGCTTCAGTCTTATGATTTCGGGTTTCCATTGCAACTGATCCCTGACCAGGAACATTCATGTGCAAATCACCCGATGGATGCCAAGAGAACTGGTTTTGAGTAGATACCGCAGGCTCTGAAAAGTACAAAAAAAAAATACATCACATAAAAGGAAATCCAATTCCTGACGCATTTCCAATAAAACTTGAAAAACAGAATAATAATACATACCAGCACCAGGTGGAAGACCAGACAAGTCAGCAAGACCAGGCTGAGGTACAAGAGGCAGATTACTTAACCTGCCAAGTAGACCCTGGCGCATTTCAATATCTGTAATAGACAAAATATGTTGAAAATGAGAGTAAAATATTTCTTAGGAGTACATGTGGACAGAAATCAAACTGAAAACTTACCAGTAGGATATGGTCTTCTTGGGTCTCCCTGTTGCCAAGTGAGAGGTGCACAGACAGCATGAGAAGACGAGATACGATGTGCAAATTTAATAAGATCCTCTGATGGAACTGGTCGCTTATTTGCTTTAGCAATTGAAGCTAATTTTTGTCTTGCTTGATAAATGGCTGTGGCCTGTAAGTAGAATTGGAATATAAAGTGTAAAACTGAAATGGCGGCAAATAAGATCACTACCAAAATAAAAGGACCTACCAAAATTTGCTCGGCCTCCTTGAGCTGTCTCTGAAGGTTGCGAATATGACAATCCTGCCTTTCCACTTCACCTCTAAGGGCATCCATTTTCAGTTCAACTCTAGCTTGTTCACGAGCACGTTCTAGGGTTGCTTTCAATTCATTGTCTTTAGCAACTAAAAGTTCTGTCAGTTGAACTTGCTCACTCCCAGCCAATTTCTGATGTTTCATAGCAATAGTATTTTCTAAAATTTCCCTGTGAAAAAGAGAAGGCAAAATAATTGAAAATAATAATTTTGTGTCCGAGGTTAGAACCTTAATTTATATACTATTATAAAAGTAGTCCGTCAAAATAAAGAGTCTACTGAGGAGGTTAAGTTCATGTATATTCTGAGTAAATTCGAAAATAATGAACATGAAATATTAAACTTACTTAGAAATTAGTTCTATATCGTCAATCAAAGATATGAGCTTTTCTACTGTGCTAATATTTGCCATTTTGAATGAAAATTCTCAAACTGAAGCCGTATTTGCTTGAGCTTTCAGAAACACACACAGAGTGTAAACATAAAACAACAACAACAACAAGCAGGGTAAGCAAGAACAAAAGTCTTATTCGCAGCGTAGATAGCTGCAAATAACGTTCTTTCTGGCACCCTCGAGTTTTAAATTGTGGCGGTTGGCAGTCACCAAGTAGGCTTGAAGTAGGCACACCTGATTAGCCTTATTTCACCTAGATCGTGAGCCGATTGCCTGTTCAGACAAACTCCAGCTTATTTTTCTAGCTGATTTGAAGAGAAGACGTAACGACCCTAATGTTTTTTCTTGTAGACTTGAAATTATGGCTGATTCTCAAGAGACAGCATTTAGTGATCATTCTGGACCTATATCTTTAGATGGTGAGGATGATACAACGCCGGCACCTGAAAATGGAAGACTGTGAGTATCTGATTCTAACTGGAAAGCAATATTTTATGTAGAAGTTTGGAGCCAGGAAATATAAAACCATTGCTTTGACACAGGTTTTCATCGGCTACAGTTGGTTCAGATTTTCCCCATGTACGCCCAAGACCATTGTATGTGGACAGTGGTCTCCGTTCCATTCAAGAACTTCGTATCCTTTCTTTCTGTTTTAGCTTTTTAAACTTATATGTATTAGTGCATTTTATCATCAAACTACACCATACATACTTGACTCATATTTTAGCTGAGGCTTATCGCTCTATGTTTAAAGACTATCCTTGCTTTAATCGTGTCCAGTCTATGGTCATGGATGATGTACTTTATTCTGGTAAACATACACCTCAATTTAATTTGGTCGAAAATACACTAAAAAAGAAAGAACCTTTTTTTATATAACTCCATATTATTCTTGAATTATTTTTTTCAGCTGAGCCACTAGTTGTAACTGCTCCGACTGGTTCAGGGAAAACAGTGCTATTTGAGTTGGCAATAATACAGTTGCTCATGTCTTATGAAAAGGCCTCTATAAATAATGATTTTAAGATTGTCTATAGTAAGAAACATTTTTTGATCCCCTTTCATCAAAAATTTGCCTACTGTACTGTTCTTAATTAATTAATTGTTTCAGTGGCTCCTGTCAAAGCTCTTTGCTCTGAAAAGCTGCATGATTGGGCAAGAAAGTTCTCTCGGTTAAATATCAACTGTATTGAAGTAACTGGAGACTCTGATGTAGCAGATCTCAACCATCTCAATAGGCATCACATTGTACTAACTACACCTGAGAAATGGGACTCTCTAACACGTCGTTGGCGAGATCACTCTGCTTTAATGAAAACTGTCAGACTGTTTTTGATTGATGAGGTAAAACGAATACTTTTTAAATAAATGTAAGTAATTTTTATCCATACTTTTTTAGTATTTTTATTTCTTGCATTCATCTATTTTAGGTACACATCTTAAATGAAGAAAGCAGAGGACCAACTTTAGAGGCTGTTGTAAGTCGAATGAAGATGTTGCAACAGCAGCAACGCTCTGACAATCATTCATTGCCTACCCTTAGATTCATTGCGGTTTCTGCCACTATTCCCAATGTAGAAGATCTTGCTCAGTGGCTTGGGACTCATGAAAAGCCAGCAAAATATTTTAGGTGAGAACAGCTAGCCTATGACCTCTCCACATTATATTTCATATGACTATGCCTTTTTGTTTTTTATTTACCGGTATATATTTTTAAAATAAAAATCAGAATGGAGGAATCAATGCGACCAGTCCAATTGAAGAAAGTAGTGAAAGGGTATGACTCAAACTTTGGTGGTTTTATGTTTGATGTTCATCTCAGTTATAAACTTAAGCAAGTCATAAGCCAGTATTCAGATGGAAAACCAACTTTGGTAATTATTATGCTTTCTTAAACTATTTAAAAAATTTAAAAACAGGGAGCATATTTTATTGTTTTCTGTTCTCAGGTCTTTTGTAGCACACGCAAAAGTGTGTTAGCTACTGCACAGGTGCTATCTAAAATGATAACATTCAGTTTTACTGACAGTCAGAAAGAAGCACTCGCTAGAATATGCAGTCAGATAGTTGACAACAAAATACGCGGTAACTGTCCCCCATGATCTGGAATTCTAGTCTGCAGAAATTTAACCAGCTCATTGAGTTTCATTCATCGTTGACTTGTCATTCCCTCAGAATTGGCGAAGGTAGGGATCGGCTGCCATCATGCGGGCCTGACCATGACGGACCGCAATCTCCTTGAGACAGCTTTCCGCGACAGCCTTATCCCCGTCCTCATGGCGACGTCCACACTCGGTATGTACATCGCTGAAATCTCGTCTTCGAAGAGCCGGACTGCGCTCTTCTGCGTTGAATGATAACGAAACCACGCACGTCCTTTACAGCGATGGGCGTGAACCTCCCCGCCCACCTGGTGGTCATCAAGAGCACCCAGTACTACGGCAACGGCGGCTACCAGGACTACTCGGACAGTCAGCTGCTGCAGATGATCGGGCGCGCCGGCCGGCCGCAGTTCGACACGTCGGCCGTCGCAGTCATCATGACCAAGTCGTCGTGCGAGGTATGTGTGCGCTGCGCCCGGCGCCCGGTGGGCAGGCAACCCATCCGACCCGCAACCTGACGGACATGACCTGCCGCACTGAGGCGTTGCGTGCGCCCCCCCCCCCCCCCACCTCTTCTCCGCGCTCTGCAGTCGCGTGTTGCCGACGCATTACGGCCCATCATTACGCGATGGATGGCCGAGGATAATGAATAATAATGGAAGCTCTTGCGATGCGTCTGCTGCGCGCCGAGAGCGAGAAAACGCGCGAGTTAGAAAGATGGCACGTGTGTGTGTGTGTGTGTGTGTGTGTGTGTGTGTGTGCGCGCGCGCGCGTCGAAATTCTAGTGCCATGAAGCGCGGTCAAGGGTGGCACATAGCTCCATGCGCGTTATTTGCGTGAAGGGTGAAGACCAGCCAAGTGCGGCGCGGGGTTGTATTTCATGAAGCCGTCTCGCTTGTCGAGTCACCCACCGGTTGTTGCCCAATACGATGGCTCTTCGAGGAGTGTATAGCAAGGGGAAATATTGAGAAACTTGCGATTAAAAAAAAACAACACGTTTTATTCATTTATCAACAAAGTTTCACAACATGAGGTACAGGTAGATGGGATTGATTTGTGCTCCCGAAGGAGAAGCCTAATGTGGATCTACATTCAGAAGCGTGTTGTAAAAATGTGTCGTTTCCTCGTTCTGGTGTCGTCATCGAGTCAGATGCCAGATCTGACCGAATAACTCTAGAGCATTGGTGTTGTGTCCTATTTTATGGCAGTTTTACAGAAACGTTAAAGTGACGTCGAAACGCACTTCACCTTAGAAATAGATTATCACAAAAGCAGGTTTCCTGCCCCAGGGAACATTATGGGGATCCGGACTCCGAAACGCCACCTCCCTGGGGAGGCAATAAAAATAGGCACTGGTAACATTGCATCTAGGAACAATAAAAATCGTACAACGTGTGGGGGGATCCCAGGGCACCGCGACCGACCGCGAGCGCGAGCAGTGTGAACCATTTCGTTGTGTTTTTTTTTCTCTCGTTCGTCTCAGCTACGAAATTCCACGGTACGATGCGAGCAATATGCATGAGCAGGCGGGGAGTGGGGCGGGGTGGGGGACACTTTTTAACTGCGCCACGCTCCCCGGGTAGGACGTAGACCAGATGCTGGCGCGGGTAGGACGCCGCCGTCTGGACGCGTCAGCTCGGCTGGGAAGTGAAGCGCTGCCCCCGAGCGGCGGGCGGAACTACCGCGAGAAGGAGATCTTGGGGACGAAGCCGCTGTCGCCGTCGACGTAGTACTCGACGGTCATGGTGCGGCCGTCGGCGAGCAGCACGTAGTACTTGCCCTCAACGCGTCCGGCCTCGTTGCCAACCTCGTTCTGCCCGTAGTTGTTCTTGGACTCGGCGTCGTCCACTTTCCACTCAAACTCGTACTGCGGACAGATGGAAACACCTCGTCATACAGAAACCAGGACGGATTTAAAAAAAAACGCAAGCAACGCGAGCAGTGTCCTCACCGGCATGGGCTTCTCGTCGGCGGCGGGCGCGCCTCCCTGGGGCCGGGCGTCGGACAGCGCCACGGCGGCCACGACGAGCACGAGGGCGATCTTCATCATCTTGGGGATCTGCGGCAATCAGACAGAAAAAAACAAAAACGCAAATTAGAACCGTGGATCCGGATCAAAGAAATCATAATAATTTAAATCAACACTGTCGCCACCATTGTGCGAAAAAACGCGTTCCAAATGTTAAATATTTATCCCATTTATTTTCCCTCGCGGAAATTAATTCTTGAAATAACTGAATTAACGCAGAGGTTGCTCCGCGGCTGGCTAATGAGCGCCGGCGCACGCCTCGCTCTCTCAGCCTTGACCCTGGCCGCGCGCTGTCCGCAGACCCGGCGGCGGAGCCTCTGCCGCCCAGTGCTCTGGGTTACGGTCACTCGCCGGGCAGGACAGTCTGCACACCTCACTTCCGGCGTGCAAATGTGCTGCTTCTTGAGTGCCGCCGGGGCCGAGCTCTCTCTCTTCCCATCCCATCCTCCTCCTCCTCCGCCTCCCCCTGCACCACAGCGTCGTCACCCACGCCACCTCTCTCCGCGGTCGCGTCGCGAGCGTGCGCCGCGGGTCCTCGGCGGCGGTTGCGGTGCGCGCGCGGGACGGGACGGGACGCGGGACACCCAGCCTCGCTCCGCACCCAAACCCTTCTATTTAAATTTCGCACGGCACGCGAGTCGCCGCGCCGCCGGCCGCGGTGGAGCCAAGAGGCCGCAGGTTGGGTCAGCCTGCGGGTCCTCCTACCGCACCGTGCCGCACTTAACGTACGGTGCGGTACGTGCACGCTGCACTGCAGTGCCAGGACGGCATCACCACACTACCTACTCGTGGGGCGCCAGGCTCGCCAGGCCCACGCAGCCGAGTGCCGCCGTGCGTTCGACCGGTCTTGGTCCATGGGGTCACAGACGAGTCACAGACGAGGCGCAGACGAGTCGGAGACGAGTACATGGCCGCGGGGCGTGGCGGCGAGCGGCGGACCTCCTTGTAAGCATCGCCCGTCTGTCCGCGATGGAGCCGACGACGGGGAATGGAAGGAGGGGTCACTGCCTGACAATGGGTCCGATGGTGGTCCGGGTCAGTAGGGGCCGTTCGCGAGCTCGAGAGAGTGTTAAGGACAGAGGGAGCAAGTGAGAGCGAGAGAGAGAGGGGGGGGGGGGGTCAGACCCACTACTACCCATATACCTCTCTATCTCGGGGTCGCCTGCCCACTGCGCCAGTCATCACGTCTATGGCCCGCGCTAAGCGCTGCCAGTCGTCGCTATGTCGTTGGCGTTGGCAGCGGTGTCATCTGCTCGACCCCTGCGGATCCCTCTCTATGAAAGTGAGCACACCTCACAGGGAGGGAGGCGGCGGCACTGCCACGCATTACGCGGAATAAACTCGCGAGAACGACAAATAATTCTCAGGTCTGCACGGCGCCTCCTGCTCCACTGCTTTACGGCTCCGTAAAGGCGACGCGCGCGACGCGCCCGCGTTGTTCCGTTTCACAACGGCGGCGGTGGCGGCCGCGGCGACGCAACGGTTAAGAGTCCCGGCGGCGGCGGGAGGCGCTGGAGGCGGCGGCGCCCCGCGGCCGCGGGCGGACATGTCGCGTAGCGCCGCCGCGGAGCGAGAGAGAGAGAGTGAGAGACTGCATCTCCGGCGCGTACTCTTCCCAGTCCCAGCACTGCTCCCCCCCCCCTCTCTCTCTCTCCCTCTTTCTCGCACGCACAGGTCGGCCCGGGCAGGCGGCATGCTGCTCTCCTCCAATCAGGCCGTGATTGTCTGACCGTTATGGAATGATTGGTCCCATTTCGGGTTGGGCGAAAGCAGCAGCATAGCATAGCGATCGGAAGTGGAGGAGAAGGAGGAAATGCAACCGGAAGTGGAGCAAATGTGCTTGACACGCAATGAGTGTTTGGCGCTCTGATCCAAAGGGACAGTAAGGCGTTTAAACAGGGTGGTCACTATGTGGCGCTATGTGGTCACTATGGTGACATTTTTACCCGCTTTCGGTGCGTGTCTTGCCTGCCGGAGCTGCTGCGCGGCGGATCGTAGGGCATTGGGACTGGCACGGCGAAAGCTCCCCCCCCCCCTCCGCAGCCGATAGGCGGGCGATACCTACAGGCGGGGCGGTGAGAGAAAGAAGCACAACTGAGATCTGACGGAGAGGATCCCCTGATACTATTGAGCGCGCCGGCCGGCGAGAGGCTTGTACTACGACGGCAGCCCCTCGCCGCACCGCGCCGCGCCTGCAGGAGATCGCGCAGATAAAGATCGTCGCCCTCTGCATCAGAATCAGAACCCTGAGGTTACCTCTGTAGTATACTTGTTTCGACTACTTACTCCCGTGAGTGTGCGCGCACCGCGCGTGCAATCGAACTGGCTGCCTTGCGAACCCTTTTCACACTCTCACAGACACACACACACACGCCATTGTATCATGCACTTCTCTTGGCGTCCAAATCGCACCACTCACACACACTCTCTCTCTCTCACACACACACGTCCACACCCCACCGTGATAGGGCCCAAAGACGCCCAAAGGTCATAAGGTCGTGGCCCGTGTCGTCAGCAGCCGTACCCCCCCCCTCCCACCCCGTCCTCTCCCATCCACACGGTCCCAATGCAACGGCATGTATCGCGGGGGAGAGTCTTCATCACGACGAATCGAGTTTACGTATTATGGGTAGGAATCGACAACCTCCAGCAGCATCATATTGTGCCTCGTCCGCTCTGTGTAATGCTTCACATGCCGTTTAGCCCGCGCTGCTGGTCGCGCTGCTGGTCGCGCTGCTGGTCGCGCTGCATGCATTGTGTGTTCCCCGGCGGCGCGCGCGTGTGCGATCGGCACGAACTGCCGCGTCGCCGCGTCGCCGCGTCGAACTCGCGTCAGGTTCATGTCCGAGCGCATCGCTGCATCCGGACGAGGAAGCGCCGAGCGGTGAGTCAGCGCGTGTGAGCCAGGCCGCCGCGTCCTTGGAGGGGGGGCTCTGCGTGGCCCGCGGGTGACTCGGGAGGGCTCATGCCACCAGCTTGCCTCACCATACCACCCGGAGCCACATCAGCAGCACGCGTAAATGAACATGTGACTCGCACTCCTCGGCGCCAACGGCCTGTCCTACTTTATACGGCTGTGTCAAAGATGGCGTTGCACGTATCTTTTTGATTTTTTTGTGGCTATGAAGCGCATAAATGAAAAAAACTCACACACTTCCGGTTGCGTTTAAAGACCAATTAATGGGAACTTGCAGCAGCAGCGAGGACCCTCTGGTTGCTCGTTAAAGGCAAACGGTTGGTTATGGGCGGGGAGCAGGGGAGGGGAGGG